CGAGCACATGGAACAAGGAAACATAACAAGCCATGTGCTCACACACCAAACATGACAAAAAACACAAGCACATGGCCAGTAAAGCAAATCAAAAGCCATGTGCTCACACAAAACCAGACATGGACACGCAGCCAATGAGGACACTCATAAGTCACGTGTTCACACAAAACATGACAACATGAAAGCACACAGCCAGTGATAAACACAAGCTGCGTGCTACACAGCACAAGACAAAACACGACATGAAAGTACATGAAACAAGACACACAGACAAGACAAAACAGGAGTGTCAGGGCTCTGTCACAAAACCAAGAAATAGACTAGACAGAAGTGACAGAACCCTGACCCATATTGCTTCATGACGTGTCAACGCTCGCTTTGGCCAGGTGTTATTTATAGTATAGAGGGCGGGACGCTTTAAATTCTAGAGAGCATTTGATTGGACAGAAGATGATGTCCACGGTGATGGCATAAAAATCCGTGATCCATTTTAGCGGGAGGGAGAGACTGTAAGTTTTGATTGCTTATATCTTCTAAATGCGGATTGGAACACACCAGCTTATTCATAACCTTAAGGCTAACATATTCATACTAAAAGCTAAAAAATACAGAAATATCAAGATTGTTCAAGATATTGAATATCGTCAATGGCTGAAAAATATCAAGATGCATTTTCTTAACTCTATTACCCAGTCGATCTGCATGCTATTGTATCGTGGCAGTGCGGCAGGGCAGGAGCGTGTCTGCCTAGCGTGGCCTGGTGATCCCCGATTTAGCCGGGGGTTTTCCTGCGCGCACGGCCCCTGCGTGTGGCCTGGCCTTGGGCCAGATCTGCTGCCTGTGTCAGAGTCCCTCGAGGTCTGAAAGGACAAAGCTGGTCTCCATCCAGCTCTCTTAACCCCCAAACGCTGGCTCTCACTCTGATATCATTTCACTTTGATGGCCTGCTCTATCTCCGGCTCGCACAACCCTCCGCACGCGCTCGGTTTCGCTCCAACTGCAGCTGTGTGGCAGTGTGTCTGTGTTTGTCTTGCGCTGTGTGTGGCCTCACATCAAACTCCTAAGTATTTTGGTTAATGAATTCTTTGCCCTCACTGTATGCCCATCTGAGCGGTACCAGCATCTAAGCTCCAGTACCGCCCCGTGCACCACCCACAGCGAGAGAGAGAGAGAGTCTGGGAGCTCAGGGCGGTTCTGGTCATGTGTGGTCTAAAACACTATCCATAGTGTTTTAATTAGGTTCTTCTCACTCAGATGGATCATTACCTATAATGAGTCCACTCCAAACCACTGAAACACACATGTATACGCGTCGCATCTATAAAAAAAATACGTTTTTATTGAGACCGTCACAAGAAATGCACCTTAAAATTCTTCTGTGTTTATATGTATATACGCATCTGTGGCGAAATATTTGAAACATTTCAGCGGTTTACATTCCCTTTTTTTTACTATTTACAGCGCAGTTTAAAAGTTTCAGGAGATTTTTTTTTTTTTAAAGAATGTAATATTTTTATTCAGCATGAATGCAGTGAATTTAGGGATGTTACAAAATATCTATTTCAAATAAAGGCTGTATAAACAAACTTTATATTAATCAAATGTATCATGGTTTCCATAAGCAGCTTTCAAGTTACTTGAGCAGCAAATCAGCATATAAGAATGATTTCTGAAGGATCATGTGACACTGAAGACTGGAGTAATGATGCTGAAAATTCAGCTTTGCCATACAGGAAGTAAAAATACTTTTACAAATATATTCAAAAAGATTTTTTTATTGTAATAATATTTCAGAATGGTATGCAGCATTGATGAGCAGGAAAGACTTATTTAAAAAACATTGAAATATCTTACGACGACCCCAAACGTTTGAATGGTAGTGTAAATTTAGACTCTTTCTGTCATCAGTATCACTGTTACTGTAATATCAGTGTTTACATGCACAACAAAACTCTCTTAGTCTTAGCTATCAAAAATCTGCTCATTATAAAAACCTGACAATGCAAGAAAACCTCATTTATGTTATAAGTCGTCACACTGAATAAGCAAGCAGAACTGTGGTAAAGGTGTTTACATGCATAGCAAAATCGGGGCAGTAACATGACCTTACACGTCTGAGTGAGTGTGAAGTGTGTGTGTGTGTGTGTGTGTGTGTGTGTGTGTGTCTGTCTGCATACAAAAACTTTAAGACACCCTGAACCCTCATGACCTCTGCGTCCAGACGTTCTCCCTTCCCCCACGGCAGTGAAACCCCCCACCCCCCACCCCCCACACATCATCACATAACTACACACACACACACAGATTCCTGCAGTCATCCCTCCTCCCTCACTCAACATGTATTTAGAAAGCACTCATGCTTTATCTGCGTGTATGAACTTTTATGAGCGTGTTTTGAAATAAAGCAGTAAGCCGTGCATTACACTACAGTAGTTTTACCGAAAGAAAAAGGAATAGGGTTGTTGTCACAATACCAACATTTCTGTAGCTAATACAAATTTCACAATATCTGTTTTATTGCAGCAAAAACTAATGTTTTTAAACACATCCCTTTATGTCAAATCAAATAAACAATGCTTAGGGCTTGATATTGACACAAATTTTACAATTCGATTCACAAGCTTGCAATTCAATTCAATTTCGATTCGATTGAGTACAGTACATGGAAAAAATCTCTCAACTTATGCTGTAAACTATAGAGGGAACCCCAGTTGGTACATTACTATAATATTAGAGGTTAAAATTAACTGATTTGTATAGGCTACGTACATTAAAATTACGCTTTTATAATAATAACTTTTTAATGACATAATCATGTTTGCACTTGTTTTGAAATATAAACATTCCTAAATGGGGGCTGTCATAAAACATGGCGGATTTAGTCAAACATACATTAAATACTGAAGAACAGTAAAAAAAAACCAATAAATATGTAATATAGTGCATATCTTTAGCAAAATGCTCCTGAGTTATTTTTTCACGTTTATGGTCAATGAATAAATGCAGCATTACGTGTCATTGTTTACAGGCTGTTTTATTGACGTCTCTGCAGTTGAAACACAGATTACACGGGAGACATGATACAGATTAAGTTGTACTGTATCTTTAACCCTCTGGGGACTAAGCCCTTTTTGCTCCGTTTTCTCTATTTTTACAGTTGGGCTTATAAACCATATGTAATGGAGATGGATCACTATGTGTTTGGTATCTATGGATTCAGAAGACCCTAAGCTAACATAAGCATGCATGTAATGTGTTTATAAAGGAAGTGTGAGTGAAAAATTTACTATAAACTAGAGAATTTCAAAAACGGAAATTAGATTTATGTCATTTATTTCTGAAAATCACACATCACACAACAATAGTGAACAGTTTTTGAACAAAAAATATATTTGTCAAAGCCTTATGCTTGACAGACATGTGTAATTGTTAAATAAAATGTGTAAAGAACAATGAAAAATGTAACTTTATTTACAAATAGTCCTAGGCGTTTTTCTTAGGAATGCTTAGAATTTTCTAAGCAATGCTTTCTCCTCGTCACTCTCCAGTAATTGTTCCAGAGCTTGTTCCACCGTAAATCGTTTACTGCTTGCCATCATAAAAGTGCTAAAACAATAAATAATGCTATAATTTTGTGTATATATATATATTATAATTGTTCTGTCTCTCTCTCTCATATAAATCTCTGATAATCCGCTCCGTAAGCCTCCGTTCGCTCTCTCTCCTTCTCTCCATTCAACGCTGTTTGCGTCATATCCCTAACTATATAGTACCACCCCTTGCAAAGCTACAGAGTCCTCTGATTTGCTAGAAACGTCATGGTAACCTTCCTCTGATTGGGTAAGAAAAATATTTCTCTATCGGCAATTTTTCCATTGGTTGTTGTTCGCGGAATCTGCCAAACAACATCGATTTCATTGGCCTTTTACATCGTGGTATTGCGCAACAAGGAAGTGTGTATATTTACAAGCCGGGTAAGTTATCACTGAGGAAGACGGTAAAAAAGACCGCACCTCTCTATCATTAATAGTTTTTAAGATAATTACACTTTTGTAAAAGTATGCCAGTAAGACCTCATTCATGTTTATTTCATGCTGTAACTTGTAGTAAAGCGGAAGAGATGATCCGTTCACCTGTCGCTTCACTTCACGCCACATTAAACAGCGCCAATGTGATATTTATTGTTCAAATTTTGTAATAAAAGTGACAGAATTTGAAAGCTGAGACTTTGTTTCATATCAAAAGTAACAGAGCTTATTGGGGCACTACAATGATCCGTTCATTCACCTCCTGAAAATGGCTAAAAGATTCTTGTGATTTACGAGTCGATATCGGTTCATCAAAATGAGAATCGATTGAAATCGAGAAATCTATATTTTTAACCCAGTCCTAATCTTACTTTGAAGTATTTGAATGAATATAGTTTAAGTTTTACCATAGATTTAATCTAGCATAAGATTTGAAGTAATAATTCAAGTTAATTGATGAATGTGTTGAGACCAGTGAGTCGTTTTCTCTTTATTTTTCCTCATTCAAGGCAAACCAACTGTTTTAATGCCTTGACAAGACGAGTGAAGTGCATTTGACTAATCACACCTGCACCATTCACTAGCCTACATTATACTCTTCATTACTTTTAGCAAGTGCCGTTTCTATAGAGCATGGCGCTGCCAAGGTCATGGCTTTGAATGCATGAACTGTTCAAATCTATACCTTGAATGCAATGTCAGTCACTTTGGATAAAAGCATCTGCCAAATGCATAAATGTAAATGTAATCATCATCTTTTTATTTGTTAGATTCACTCTTGTTTTCTTGATTCACTCTTTTTGCAGAACGTCTGAAACACGTGAAATCTGTGTGTGTGAATGTGAACGTGCTCTTGGAAAATGACTCTTTTGTCTGCTTTATTAAGTGTGAAAGTGAGTCATGATGTAATGCTATTGTAATGAATCCGTCCTACTGGATATTCATAAAGTTTTCCCTTTTTGTGTTCCACAGAAGAAAGAGAAACATTCGGGTTTGGAACGACATAGGGGTAAGTGAAGTTCATTTTTGGATGAACTATCTTTTTCAGTAGGGTTTGTACACCGTTTGAGTGACTGAAATCAAATGACACAAAGGGAATTTGAAGGATAAGGTAAAAGCCAAAGAAAGAGAAACTTGCAAAACTTCAGAGCCTGTCTGTGTCTCTCACACTCTCTCGCTGGGGACGGGACAGGGGTGGAGATTAGACAGGCCGACGCCCCCTCCGCTATAGATGCCCACAGACGCATGCGTCTCTGTCTAATAAGTGGGCTGAGACAGAGACACCACAGTGTTTTTCAGTAGTTTGATGGATGTGGCCTGAAGTGACTCAGTCTCTGGTCAGTGTTTTTGTGGTTGTGTGTCTCTCTCTTCCGCTCTATTTTTACATTTTTGGCAGGCCTTTGAACCCAAAAGGTGACTCACTCTTTTTCTATGGTCCTGTGTGTGTGCAGGGAAGACAGAAGCGAGGGAGTTGAACACACATTTGTAAACAGCATCCATAAATATGCATCCGTACACACGAGAACTCCCTGAATCCGTAGGGAAAGTCTGCGAGACTCGCGTGCCGAGGCACACACAGTTTTTTTTTGGTGTTTGTGTATTTGACCCTATTTTCCCTTCCTCTCTCTCTTTCCCTGTCCCTCATTCTCTTTGGACTTGTTGCCTTTCCTTTCCAAACTTCCAGCAACTATCAAAGCACTGACTGAACATCCCAACCACACACACACACACACACACACAGATTGCACATTCAGAGTATTTCACATACTGACTCTTTTGTATGTGAGCTAAGAGAATCCAGATGCACGTGCCTGTTCACCTCTCTCTCTCTCTCTCTCTCTCTCTCTCTGTGTGTGTGTGTGTGTGTGTGTGTGTGTGAGCGGTCTGTAGCTGATTTAGCTGATAGTGAGCACTTAATAGGGTCTGTAGATCAGATCCGACAGCAGTTTATTTGGTCTGTGGGATTTCTGGGCTCCCATTCAGGCCTTGTTTTCAGGAGCAATACTCTGAACCGTGCGCTTACCGTGTCATGGACCTGTCATAGAGCAAAACATGCTGTTATTTATTATTATAATGTTGTAATAATTGTAATGTTAACGTTTTCTTCTAGGGTGAGCTGATCACAATTCAGTGCTAACTAAGCATAGGTGTAAAAAGGGTTCAAAACCTAATATGTGCCTTATTGACATGCATTAACATCGTCTGATACAGTAGATTACCGTATATAGTCATGAACTCAGAAACCGTCCTGTTTGAATACCTTGACCATTGGTCACATTGTGGATGCATGTTAGTAGTAAGAGGTAAACAGCAATGTGTCTCCGTTTACCACTTGTGACCGGATTACATGAGACGGATGTTAATACCAGGTGTAAACAGGGCCAAGGTCGCACACGCATACTGTACAAGCAATAAATGTGTGTGTGAATCTGTCAAAGTCTATTAATAGTCACGTACACATAGTGCATGGGAAAGACAGGGAGAGGTACTCAAATGTGAAAGCATATTAATTGCATCTTTTTTTGCCTGTTTATGTGTGTGTCTGTGTTTGTGTACTACTTTACCATATTTTAGAGACACATTTGTACCCAGAAAAGCACCTTTAGGGGTGTCCTCATTTGTAAATTAAAAAAAATTGATTAAAAATTACGTTTTTTTTTATTATTATTATAAAAATGCTAATAGTTTTTTACGTAAATTCTACGTAAAAAGGTTTTATGTTAGGGTTAAGGTTAGAGTTTGGGTTAGGATTTGGTTATAAAAATTATAACTAGCTGCTTATAAACCAATAGAAGTCTATGCAATATCCCCCATTTAGATAATTTTATGAAGTGTGTATGTGTGTGTGTGTGTGTGTGTGGGTGAGTGTGGGTGGGTGGGTGGTCCTGGTAAACCCTACATTATGGGGACAATAGAAAAGATGGCAATATCCGAAATCCTTGTCCTTGTGAGGAATTGTTTTCAGTCCCTGTGAGGAAAACGGCTGATAAATCATAAGTGATCCTTTCTGAAAATGTAAAAATGCAGAACGTTTTCTGTGAGAGTTGTTTAGGCTTAGGGGATCAATATATACAGTGTAAAAATCATTATTTATATAGAACGTCTCCATAAAACATGAAAACCCGACGTGCGTTCATTTTATTGTGTATTTAAAGAACACACTCACACCTGTTTGCATGTGAACTTTAAGTATTTACACCTTTTACATTCACACACACACATTCTCCATCCTACACACACACTTTTCAACTAACTCTGCAAGCTGTGGCTCAGGGCCAGAGGGTAAAGGTGAAAGATCAGATGGGAGAGTTGACCACATATAAAAGCCATGCTACTGCAGGGTCGAAAAGGTCACCTTCATAAAGGTCAAAGTTCATCCTGCCCTGTCATGCTTCAGCATGTGTCCTGAACAGGTGTCCTAGCAACCGAATTGAAGTGTTTGCTGAGTAAACACACATCCGGGTGCACGAGCCCGAGCTCAACCACACACACACACTCTTTGATGTTCGGGATCCCAGTGGGTCAAGATGTGGTGGAAATATGGAGCAGATTTTTAAAGGACTTTTTTTTTTTTTCCTTCCTGCTTTTCCGTCTATGTGAGGTCAGAATAAATCTGCGTCTCTGATCTTTGCCATAGCAAAACAAGGATCCGTGGGGACGGAGGCACACATGTGCTTGAATGCTTGCTCTTTTTATTTGATCTGAGCACTGCAGTGTCGTATATAGATGAACACCCTCACAGTTGGGACTCTACATTTATCTTAGATCTCGTTTGTGCATTTACTAATGGCAATATTAATTTCCACCCATTTTGAACTACAGTGATCAAGTAATCAAGCTTGGGTCTTAACATGATCATTAGGTGGGTGTTTAACCAGGGGTCTCAAACTACCAGCCAGGGATGGAAATTAGCACCCGCCACCAGCCAAATGCGGGTGATTTTGTGTTGTGGCGGGTAAACTCGCTTCACCTACCGGCCACCGTGGCGGGTAAATAAAAATAGCATACTGTTTCACCCGGACGGCGGACACTTTTAGAGGAGGCACACCTTCAAACAAAAATGTGGCGTTACATCGCAGGCGTAGAGGTCTGCAGAGAAAACATCATGGTGCGTTCACACCAGACGAGAATAGAGCGTCTGGCCGCCTGGCGTGAGTGATTTCATTGTTAAGTCAATGCAAAGACGCGTTACGCGCGTAAAAAATTCCTGCGGCGCGAATGAGGTGTAGAGCGCGCCGTGGTAGATGCGAATACGCCTCATTCGCGCGGCAAGTTCGAGCGTCTGACGCGTTCCGCGCGCATGATTTTATTGAGTGCTTTTGTGCATTCACGCGTTTGACGCGAATTCGCGTCTGCCGCCCGAGTTGAAAAATCTGAACTTTGGCGTCAATTCGCGCCGCGTTAACCAATCAGGAGCCTAGCCTCTGTCACGTGGTGAAGTATCTGGATGCTTCAATAAATTATTTTGTACTAAATGCCTGATGTGGTTCTAATGCACAACAAAGCAAATATTTTATCACATAAAACTTGATTTCAATATATGAGACATATTCATTTTGTATTGAATGCTATTTATTCCATTTCATATCTAGATTATATTAAATATTATTCTAATGTAAAGGCAACCAACATACTATAGCTCATAAATCCGTGTCTGGAGAGTGTTGTGTGAGAGAAAAAAAATCACAGGACAGGTTAATTACTTTTGGAGGCTGGCTCAAATTATCATCAAAACAAAAATAAATGACAGATTAGGTGGATGAGGCCGAGGGTGAGAGAAAGAGAAAATGTCAGTATTTCATTGAGACTTGAGATTAAATAAACTGCTTAAGTATTCTTGTAGTATTAATTTTCACATGCAGTTACACATTGTCGGTTAAAAACAAGAAAGTGGCTGGTAAAAACATTGAGTGGCTGGTAGATTTTGAAATCCACCAGCCACAGTGGCCGGTGGACAAAAAAGTTAATTTCCATCCCTGCTACCAGCCCACGAGTGTTGGTTTATCCAGAAATTCAACCCGCAAATTCATTTATTTTCTTTGGTTGGACTTTTACTGTAATCCTATAATTCTCAGGATTGTCAAACAGCAGTCTAACATGTGATAATATAAATATAATTATTTAACTGGTCCCTAATGGAGAACTCCACATGGCTAGTGGCCCGCAGGTAACTTGAGTTTGAGACCCCTGGGTTAAACTGTGTGAAAGTCTTAAAGTCTGGTTTGAAGTTTCCCATCATGCTGTGTGCTTGTGCATGCTTTTGTGTTTGCACATCTGGTTAAGTAGGTGTGTAAATGCCTTGTGCAAAACGTGTGTGTGGATTTGTGAGTTGTCGTCATGGCTTCTGCTGGTCTGCTGAAGTTCCTGCTGATGTTTATTCCTGAGCCTGTTTATTTATCTTACACGCCACGTGAACCAGACAGTGAATGTGATCACGTTTGAGTGCGTGTATACAAGCTATATGATTCCTCTTGCTGCTTACAGTTTGTGTACATGCCTGTGTAACCAGCATTACTAAAAATATCCCTTAAACCCCCCCCCCCCCCCCCCAGTGGATCGCTCAACCCTGTCATGAAATGCACGCTACCAACTCCCTGCACATCCAAAAGAGGGATATTCCCAATCAGCCTGTTTTGCTCTCCAATGTGCAAATGAGGTGAAAAATATTTTTTTCATTTTTTCCACATAGCAAAACTAAGTTTTCCTTTGCAACACTTGCTAATATATGCATGCAACCATAGCGCATACTTAGGTGTGCATGCAAAGTCGTCTCCCAGAATGTGTTTTGATAAACTGCTGGGTTGTTTCATCCCAACTTTGGGTCAAATATGGACAAACCCAGCCATTGGGTTACATTTTTTTAATTGCATTTTTAACCCAACGTTTGGGTTTGTCCATATTTGAAACAAATGAAGGTATATTTCCATGCATGTGAGTCTGTTTCCCCGTATGCGAGTGTGTGTTTGGCCAGCTGTGTGGAGGCACATTCTTCAAGCTCCAGGCGGAGGG